ATGGATTCTAATAAAGCAAATGAACCTGAATCCTTGAAAATAACCACTAAAATCGAATCTCAGACTCTGTTCAGCAGAACATCATCAAGAAGTTCTCCTAATCCAGAATCCAAAAACATTGAATCAGTACTGATTTCAGAAAAACCCATTGAATCGTGTAAAGCAGCAGAAGAGACGAAACCTATATCCAAAAAACTACCTGACCTTCCCTTGGCCAATTCCACAAAGATCAGCTCCAGAAAATCAACAGAGAATAACATGGTCTCTACAGACCTACCATCCAAGGTAGTATCGAAAGTCCATGCTGAACCTAAAGCTTTACCATCTACAACATCAAGTATACCACAAGACGTGCGGAATTCTTCTGCAAAACGTAAGTCTCCATCAGTTGAGAGGGTGGTATTATCCAATACAGACAGTGTGTCTAAAAATGGACGAAAGTCCCCAATAATAGCTTCTTCCAAATCAGGCAGATCTTCACCTCTCAGATCCACAACTAAAACTGATACAGTACCATCATCAAAGGTTTCATCACCTACTAAAAAGGTCTCGTCGCCTTCAACATTGACTAAATTTGAGAAACCCTCTTCCAGAGTGACTGCTTCTCCTACTAGAGCTCTACCTACAGTTGACAGGAAATCTCCCTCAGTAGAACGAGTACCAACAACACAATCAACAGCACTAAGCACTAGTAAATTAGGTGCCAGTCTGAATAAGGCAAGAACACCATCACCTAAAACAACTCCAACAGACCCACAAAACAAGCAAAAGATTCCAGAAACAAAACCAGCCAGGGTGAGAACAGGACTGCCTGCCCCTTCCAAGACTGTCAAAACTGATTCTCCTCAAACCAAATCAGTGAAAACAAATCAATCACCAATTGTAAAAGTGACAACCACCAAATCAGCTGCGAGTGCGTGTGTCCGAGTTGAAAATAAAAAACCAACTAAGACTGTACCAAGTCCTAAAGCTGAGGAAGGTCTCAAACACTCGAGGAAAACAGTATCGGAAAGAATGGCCAAAACCAGTCGTAAACAGTCTTCAGGGAACTACACGTCTGATGATGAAGATGTTCCAAAACGATCTCATCCACCAAGATCACCTGCTGTCAGACGAGCGAAACTTGGGGCTTCAAGCTCCCCAACTGGTCGACGAAAGCTACCCGATGTCACAAAAGTATCCAAATCTAAATCCAAAACTTCAAAATCTATCACCAAAGATGATGACAAATCTCCTACTCCAAAGACGCGTTCTGGTAGATCCCCCTCCCCTGTTAAGAGCCCCAGATCTCTCAAAGTTCCCGAGTCTCCAGCCAACTTGGATAAATTGCTAAAGGATAATCTGGACTATTTATCGGATGATTCCACCATCAAGACTCCATCGCCAGTGAAGAAGCCTGATTCGAAAAGAAAATCTCCAACAGATCAGACGGCCTCCCCAGCACAAACATTATTCAAAAATGGGTAAGTCTGTAGAAATTTCCTAATGTTTTTTCCCTCTATTCCTTTTGGGTATTTTAATGTGCCCACCCCTGTCATTAATACAGGTAAGAGGGGCTTACATGGAAAAAGCGTCTTGTCGATTGGATGGGACAGAAAAACGAGGCCCCGTGTGCTTCAGACTGTGCACAGATCCCTTGACAGTTGGAAATCGAAAAAGAGCAGGCTAATGCCGCTGTCCTAGCAAGATTTCCCTCATTGCACCCTGCATGGCTTTTACCGTCTTCATTAGCTCACATGGTGCAGAAAAGTAGGACGTAAAACTCCATTCATTTCATTTCATTTTAGTTAATTGTTTGCAAAAAGTCTATTAGCATCTACCAATGATTTGCCAAAATTGTTGTTTTGGATTTGGGGTTTCGTTTTGAGGCTAGGAATCGTTAGTACTGGGTTTATTTATCCTTTGGTCTACTCTAATAGACAAAGATAGTTCATGTTTGAAAACAATATGAAATGTAGATCTTTATAATCAACCGATTTTAGAATTTGTCAATGATCCTCCCTGGAACTTTTCAATTACCTTCCCTTGGACCTATTTTATATCAGCCTTTCCTGTACGTAATCCTTCTTTGAACTTTTCTGTTTGCAAATTAACCGTTCATGAAACTTTTTTTATAAGCTCTCCTGAAACTTTTCCTTCAGGCCACCTTGAAACTTTTCTATCAATCCTCGTTGGTATTGAGTCTATTTTAAGAAGTGATTGTGTTTAGTTCACTGTGTAAATATGTCAGGTTGTCTCTGTTTTTACCTCATCCTGCCTGTGTGTGTGTGTGTTTATTATCATGCTAGTATTTGACTTGGCACCTCAACTTACACAACTCAGTGTATTTTTGTCAACAATTCTCACTGTTTATTGCATAATGTTGTTGTTTTTATGGTTTATTAGGTAGAGGTTTCTAAGTATTTTTCACTGTCTTAAGTTATTATAGGTATAAAAACATTTTTTTAGATCAGAAACAGGAGTTTGGAATTCTAGGCCTTAAAAATCTGATAATTCTGTAGTGTTGTTTTTTTTATTGTTAATTAGACAGAGGTTGAATGTTTTGTTCTGACATAGTTTAATTTTTCCTGAATAATAAGACAGGATTTTAGTTAACAAGTAAAAATTTAAGGAAAAAACCCCAAAATATTATGGTGATACAAAGAAATACAATGTTATACAATGCTATAGTATACAAAATCATATAAAGATATACAATATCATATAATGTTATACAATGCCATACTATATTTTACAATGCCATACAATATTATACATAGTTATACAATATTATATATAGTTATACAATATACTACAATATTATACAATGCAATACCATATTATACATAGTTATACAATATAATACCATATTATACATAGTTATACAATATAATACCATATTATACATAGTTATACAATATAATACCATATTATATGTAGTTATACAATATTATATATAGTTATACAATATTATATACAGTTATACAATATACTACAATATTATACAATGCCATACCATGTTATACATAGTTATACAATATAATACCATATTATATGTAGTTATACAATATTATATATAGTTATACAATATTATATATAGTTATACAATATACTACAATATTATACAATGCAATACCATACTATTATACATAGTTATACAATACCATACCATATTATATGTAGTTATACAATATTATACATAGTTATACAATATTATATATAGTTATACAATATACTACAATATTATACAATATACTACAATATTATACAATATACTACAATATTATACAATGTTATACAATATTATACAATGTTATGTAATGTATAAGTAATAATGATTAACATGAGGAATTCAACTCTCTATATCAGATTTAACTCAGTGCCAAGAATCAGGATGTTTTTGAAAGTTTTAAGTTTACTAGTGACTGTGTTATTATCATTTATTTTTCTACCAAGTTTTCTCAGCCAGGACTGTTTGTTGAACCTTGAGTTGTATCTTGTTTTCTTGTGGGGAAATTCTGGATTTCTGTTTTTGTATAGGAATGGGAGTGTGGTAAATTATAATTCTTTTTCACCTTGTTTTCTGGGTTTATTGGGTGATATGTTTATCAGATAAAGAAATTGTTGATTAAAGTGTCTGTATAAATCATGTATTATATTGTTAGGATCTAGTAAATGTAAGAATGAAGCAGTTATCTGTAGTTTGCATAACATTTGTTTTTTTCTTATTTTTGACTTATGGATTGCAATTTCTATAGGCATGTGTGGTTTTTCTAATTGTAATTTGGGTTTTGATTTTCTGGATTGTAATTTTGATAGGTACATGTTGGCCATCATGTCAGTTTTTAAGTTTTTAGTTCTGTTTTTTTATAAGCTTTTATTTTTTAATATAGTCACTTCAGTTAGGGTTTAACGACAGCCCTGACGTCTGCTTTAACCAATCAAATTTCAACCCTCTACAGCGCTGGCACCTTGTGACACAGTGTTGATTAGGTAAGGTCAAAAGGTTACTTGGAGGAATGTTCAAGAGGGCTGTCATTTGACCCTGACTGAAGTGAGTATATTGGAAAATAAAAGCTAATAAAAAAAAACGTAGGTAAGTTTGGTCTTATTTTAATTAGACTGACAGTTTTTCTCTGTTTGATTGGACTACTATATTATATTACAGGTCGAGTAAAGACTATGATAATGAGAGGCTGCTAATCTCCAGTGAATATTTAAAAGTCAAGGGAAATAACTCCACACTGACTGATAGTAAACCAGGTAATAATAGTGAAGATGAAGAGTTTAATACAGCTCCCTCCACACCTCAAATACAACAGAGAACTCACAATGGAGGTAAGTTTTGTGTTTCTATTTTTGGGAAATTGTTTGTCAGGTTAGGTTTGCAGAAGAAAACATGAAGATGAAAATCTCCCAAAAACAAAACTCCTTGTTTACAAACTCACAGTGCTAGCTATGTTCTCTTCTGTACATGGATGTTTCACTCAGCAGAATATGTTACCAAGAGATAGAATACTGCTGGGGAAGGATGCTGTACTTTTCTACTCTTGGAAAATATCCCTTTACAAAGCCTCTGACGTAGTGTAAGAACAGTGTTTGGTAATAATAACTTCTTAATTTATATAAGCACAACAATACTACTAACAGTCTCTATTGTACTTGACAAATCTTTAACAGTGGAAAATGTTCTGAATGAGGTGAGATTTGAGTTGGGTTTTAAAAACACTGATTGATTTAATGTCACAGAGGTTTTTCAGAGGAGAGTTCTAGAGATGAGGAGCAGATTATGAGAATGCACGTTTTGACATTTCTGTTTTAACAGATGGAAAATTCAATAGTTTTTTGTCTGAATATGGTCTTTAGGAATTTCTGTTTAGGTACATATTCACACTCAAAATCCCCAGTCCCTTCTATTCATTTCATAAGCCACAAACCGTACAAACAAAAGGTACATGTTACATTTCTATTATTTTCTTAATCAAAGGCGTACCATTATCTTTATATAATTTGAAAATGTTTTAAGTAAAAGCGTGTTGTAATTGAAGTAAAAGCGTGTTGTAATTGAAGTAAAAGCGTGATGTAATTAAAGTAAAAGCGTGTTGTAATTGAAGTAAAAGCGTGTTGTAATTGAAGTAAAAGCGTGTTGTAATTGAAGTAAAAGCGTGTTGTAATTGAAGTAAAAGTGTGTTGTAATTAAAGTAAAAGCGTGTTGTAATTGAAGTAAAAGCGTGTTGTAATTGAAGTAAAAGCGTGTTGTAATTGAAGTAAAAGCGTGATGTAATTGAAGTAAAAGCGTGTTGTAATTGAAGTAAAAGCGTGTTGTAATTGAAGTAAAAGCGTGTTGTAATTGAAGTAAAAGCGTGTTGTAATTGAAGTAAAAGCGTGTTGTAATTGAAGTAAAAGCGTGATGTAATTAAAGTAAAAGCGTGTTGTAATTAAAGTAAAAGCGTGATGTAATTAAAGTAAAAGCGTGATGTAATTAAAGTAAAAGCGTGATGTAATTAAAGTAAAAGCGTGTTGTAATTAAAGTAAAAGCGTGTTGTAATTGAAGTTAAAGTGTGTTGTAATTGAAGTAAAAGCGTGTTGTAA